CCTGGGGCTTGAGTCGGGGGAGCGGCACGGTGCCGGAGAGCGCTCCGGCGCCGGCAGGGTTCTCGAAGCCGTGGAAGTCCCTGGAAGCGGTTTGGAGACCAAGGGAACGGCTGAGACAGTGGAGCCCGATATAGAGGGGCTCGGAGCCGACTTACTCCGGCTGTCTTTAGGCGCCACCGCAACACTTGCAGGCGGTGCCATTGATATCCCTGGCTTGTCACCTGCACCTGATCTTGAGGGTGGAAGGGATTGTGCTGGAGATGGTTTCCTCTTTATTTTTTTAGTTTGCTCTGCGGGCTCCTTAGATTGTTTGGCCTCGGGTTGTAGAGCTTTGTCAAATAAGAGGATTTAGGCGCATGTCCCTGTCCCATCTTGCTCTGGCTGTCAGCTTGGAGCAATAGGGACATTTTTGGGGTATGTGGCCTTCCCCGAGGCACCTAATGCTCATGGAATGGCCGTCACAAGCAGGCATTGCCTCACGGCATTCGCCGCACTTCTTGAATCCCGGCATTTGAGAAGAATAAACTAACTACTGAAGAAAAAGATTTTTTTTAAACGACTAGAACTATTAACTATAGGAAGAATTATAACTATAACTTTTAAACTATGTATATAATAATTATTGGTGATCTCTCTCTGTGTTAGTGAACAGGGTTCACGAGAGAGACGTTAATCCGTCCGCGGTCGAGGACGGTCAGGAGGAACTGGTGGGAGCCGGACCATCAACGCTCAAACGGCACGAAAAGCCACGAGCCGTACTTGGCGCATGCATGGTCCGGCAGACTACAGCTAGAAAAGATCTCCGATCTGCGGCGCCGGGACAAGCCCAACACCTACAATGGAGCACCCATGGGACACTGCTCGAAGAAGAACCACCAATTTGAGTATGGGCCGCTTTGCTTCTGGCAGATGGTTTAGTAGGGGTGTGAGTTTCGTGAAATTGTCAAATATGTGGTTAGAAAGGTGTGCTGTGTAGTTCGCTATCTGGAGCATGAGTGTCACGGATGTGTACATCTTCCTACCAAGTAAGTCCGATTGCTTTACGTCATTGTCAGAGATATTTCTGAATTGAGGGGCTTTCGATCTTTGGCATGCTGTATCTACCACTGAAGAGTTCAGTTGGGGATGGGTAAAAAAGAACTCCACCCCCTTGGGTGGCACAAAATATTTCGTGTCTGCTCTTTTCCTAGTTGGTGGAGCAGAGGCTGGGGTTTGCCACATCTTTTCGGTGACCTCAAGTATAGCTTCATCAAGTGGTATGGCTATTTTTTATCTGTATTGAGGCTGAAGGTTTTTAAGGAGGCGGTGTTGTTTCTCCTTTACTTCATCTATGTGTATCTCTTGGCTTATGGCTACCCTCTTGAAAAGTTCTTGAAATTGACGAATATCGTCAGGTGGATATGTCTCCTGGGATTATGGCCTCATCCGGAGAGGAAGAGAAACGGTCATGGGGGAAGTTTCCTGTGGTGGTTCCTCTGTGGTGGAAAGCTGTGTATCGTCTGGTTCCGATGGCTGACATTGAGGAGACACGGGATGGCCCATTGGAGTGGGAGGGGATGAAGTTGGGGACTGCCTGGTTGGTGTGCAGTCACATCATGACCTTCCGTGGGACCTAGAGGGTAATAGTATGAGCATCGACTAGGCGAATATCGGTGGCAGTGGTCATCACGATAAAAAAGTCTTTCAAGAGGTGACCGTCAATCAAGGTAAGTATGCCGAGATTGTTCTCAATGAGATGAACGAATTGAACGGGGTGAATGGGAATAATCATAGGAGGCACTAGATGATGCTGGAGAAAAAGAATAACAACTGTGGTAAATATGATGATGATGAGTCATGGCAGCCACTAGAAATGGTGAAGGTAGCATTTGCCTTCGAGAGCATGGGGATCGGTGCCATTGCGAATCAAGTAGTGTGGGGGACCTCGACACCATTGGAGATGGTGACGGTGCCCGTGGAAAAAGCAATGACTGGGAGCGTGAGCGACTTCAGCGCCAATATGGACTGAGAGAGTCCCCGGTGCACCACAGACCTGCTTTGTGGTATGGTGCCGGCTGTTTGGGGGAGGAGGAGCAGCCTGTGCACTTCCTCAAACCCTGGAAGTGGCGCGTAACTGCTGGACTTCTGTCCACCCCGCAGGACCTACCGGCACTACCTCCCTCGTTGCTGGAGGTAGGTAGTGGGGTTTCTATGGGGAGGAGGGGCAAAAAGGGGGGTTCTGAACACCTCGCAATCGTCTGGTTGGGGCTTCCTGATCAACCCGTCGATCGCGATCGACGGGTTGATGACCACAGTTAGAGACTAACGAAACATGTAGATGGTATCATGCGCTTTTGTGGGCACAGCCCACTTATTCAGACCGGTCATCTGAAGAAGTGGGCTGTGCCCATGAAAGCTCGTGATACCATCTATATATATGTTTCATTAGTTGATAAAGTGCTACGAGACCATTTGTTGTTTTTATCTACTCACTGTCTCTCTTTTTCCCCCCCTTCCTCTCCTCTTTTTTTCCTTCTCCCCTCCGTCCCTTATTTATTCTTGGATCTCGACTTCTAACACTCCTGTCAACTAAAGAAGTGGGTTGTGCCCACAAAAGTTCATGATACCATCTATATGTTTTGTTAGTCTTTAAGATGCTACTAGAGTATTTGTTGTTTTTTAAGTTTTTCCTGTACAGACTAACTCGGCTACCCCTCTGAAACTTTTAAACATTCTATTTGTGAATCTGTATCACTTTCAAAACATTTAAACAAACTCAAAAATAAGAGCTTGCCTGGCAAATAAATTTGCTCAGGCTAGCTCTGCTTCAAAAAAGTCACCATGTTTTTGCAGACCTAAGCAGTATAGTGCTTACAGTGCAGGTCAGAGAATTGCTGCAGAGATATTTGCAATTCAAGTGCCTGTTTATAGGTTCCAATTCTTAAAAAAAAAAAAAGAAAAAAATCTTATTTTAGAACAAAACAGAATTCCAGTAAAGTATGTTGCTTTTCCATCAAATTACCTTACATTTTCTTCTTTTCTCTTCTTGTTTTCTGTCCGCAGTTTTGTTCTTTGAAATGCTTGTGTGCTATGTACCAAGTTTTATTGGACTTCATGTTTCCATCTTAAAAATAGAACAGAGGAATAAGCAGTGAAAAATAAACAGAAATGGCTAGTTGATATTTACATTTTTAATCAACTGCTGCTTTGTGTAATTCCTGAAACTGACATGCAGACACAACAAACAACTGCAGTATTTTGTTTGAAAAGGCACAATCGATGGAATCATCTAGAGTGTTATATTTTCCCACCCACCAGGAACAAAGCATGTATTTATCTGTGTAGATTTCCTTACTCTGAAATTAAAGCAGACAACAAGGAATAAATATGAAGAACCAAATCTTCAGTGGTCACTGTAGGATTTTGGTCATCTTGTAAAAAAATAGCTTTGGATTTCCATTGCTAATACGAGCATTCAGTGGACTTGGATGCCTAAAATTAGGCACTCAAATCAATATTTAAGTAGTTAAATAAGTGCCTTGACTTCAAACATGCTGAATACTCACAACTGCCACCGAAAACAGTAGGAACTGGGTTTGTACAGTAGCAGCAGGAGGTATTTCATACCAGTAACTACATGTACTGACATAAATATCAATGGCTATGTTTAGACTGGCATGATTTTGCGGAAATACTTTTAACGGAAAAGTTTTTCCGTTAAAAGTATTTCCGCAAAAGAGCATCTAGATTGGCACGGATGCTTTTGCGCAAAAGCATCCGGGGCCAGTCTAGACACGATTTTGCACGAGAAAGCCCCGATCGCCATTTTAGCCATCGGGGCTTTTTTGCGCAAAACAGTTCTTCCCTGTCTACACTGGCCCTCTTGTGCAAGAGGGCTTTTTCCCGAGTGGGAGCGTGAAAGTATTTGCGCAAGAAGCACTGATTTTGTACATTACAAAGTCAGTGCTCTTGCGCAAATTCAATCAGCCAGTGTAGACAGCTGGCAAGTTTTTGCGCAAAAGCGGCCACTTTTGCGCAAAATGTTGCCAGTCTAGATGCACCCAATATGTTTATTTCAGTGATTATACATATAACTGAATGGGCAGCCCCTATCCATTTCAGAATGTGCAAGCAAGCATGTGTGTGCATGTATCTAATTCTGAGCTTATGTGTGATCAGTTCTCTCTTTTGTTTTTTTGTTTTTCTAAAGGACACACTGAAAATGGTGTTAATATAACATTATGGAAGAAGGCCACAGAACACATTAAAATAAACATCATTTGCGATAATACACAATACAACATGCACATCAGAGGAATGAATTAGTCACAATGGGAATCCCATAGCTTCGAGTTACCTGATTTTTGTGATTACAGCCATCTAGGATTTACCATATTACTCTAGCGAGTAATGCCCATTGATCCATCATGTCTGATGCTTTGCCTTCACTATCAAAGTGAGATGAAAACCCCTCATTACACTCTAGCCAACTAAGCAATGCCATACAAAGAGAAAATATTCCTTCCTGACCCATGTTCCCTCTAATTTTTTCCATCTGTGTGCAGAATAAATTTTGCATGTGCAGTTGTGCACCATCAATAGAAACAAATACTGCTGGCTGTGGTCAGTGGTGGGTGTTCTGCCAATCAGCTGACTAGCACCTGATTCTCTCCTGGGTGTCTGCCTAAGCGCTCAGCTTATAGAGAACACTGTTCCTGCCTCTGTGGTGTTTGGCTTACTCCCTGAATCATAAATCTTATTCCCCCTAGAATTATCATAACTCATAAAAGTACTAATGTTGCTGGTTAGAAACCAGTCAAGCCATTTTTAAAATCCAGCAACAGCATGGCTACGTCTACACTGGCATGAATTTCTGAAAATGCTTTTAACGGAAAAGTTTTCCGTTAAAAGCATTTTCAGAAAAGCACGTCTAGATTGGAAGGATGCTTTTCCGCAAAAGCACTTTTTGTGGAAAAGCGTCCGTGGCCAATCTAGACGCAGTTTTCCGCCAAAAAGCCCCGATCGCCTTTTTCATGATCGGGGCTTTTTTGCGGAAAACAGTACTATGCTGTCTACACTGGCCCTTTTGTGCAAAAGTCTTTTGGAAAAAGACTTTTGCCTGAACGGGAGTAGCATAGTTTTTCTGGAAAAGCACTGATGATTTTACATGAGCTCGTCAGTGCTTTTCCGGAAATTCAAGCGGTCAGTGTAGACAGCTGGCAAGTTTTTCCGCAAAAGCAGATGATGTTGTGGAAAAACTTGCCAGTCTAGACACAGCCCATGTGTCTTTATTCACAAACAGGATGATCCCTTCACTGATTATCTCTCTTCAGGTTTATAGTGTGTGCCTTTGATAGTTTTCTGGCTTGGTGCAAAGATGGACAATTGAGCTATATATGATATACATGTAATTGGAGAAAAAAACTTGAAAAACAAAGAATAGTCTGGCAGCACCTCAAAGACTAACAAAACATGTAGGCTATGTCTACACTGGTGGCTTCTTGTGCAAGAACAGCTGTTCTTGCGCAAAAACTTGCTGGGTGTCTACACTGCATGAGCATTCTTGCGCAAGTAAATTTACAGTACAGCGTTGGAAAACAGGGCTTCTTCCGGAAGAGTTATTCCTTTCCCCACGAGGAATAAGCCCTTTTGCGCAAGAGCTCTTGTGCAAGAGGGCAGTGTAGACAGGCAACATGAATTTCTTGCGCAAGAAACCCCTATGGCTAAAATGGCCATCAGAGCTTTCTTGCGCAAGAGAGCGTCCACACTGCCATAGAAAGCACATCTCTTGCACAAAAGCACATGCCAGTGTAGACACATTCTTATGGAAGACTTTTTGGCAAGAACTCTTCTGCAAAACAGTTCTTGCGCAAGAAGCTGCCAGTGTAGACGTAGCCGTAGACGGTATCATGAGCTTTCATGGGTAAACCCCACTTCTTTACAAAAGCTCATGATACCATTTAAATGGCTTGTTAATCTTTAAGGCGCTGCCAGACTATTCGTTGTTTTTCAAGTTTTTTCCAGTTACAGACTAACTTGGCTACCCCTCTGAAGCTGATTATATAATCCATTAGCCAGAGAAGGGTAACAGCTCCCACCAGTGTTCCCTCTAAGATATTCCATCAATGAGCAGAGTGAGTTTAGTCTTGTGCACCAATATTGAGGTCACGTGCATTTGTCTGATTATGTGCCACTGTGGCACCCAAGTTATAAACCTCTCCCTTTTCCCCTCCGTTGACATGTCTCCCATCCTCCCTGCACCCCATCTCCTCTCCTGGTACCTGCCGCTGCCCCCACACACTCCTCTCCTGTCTTGGCTCCTGCTCTTCTCACTCCCCTCAGTCCTCCTGGGATTTACTCCACCTCCCCTGCACTCTCTAACCCCTGCACCTACTTTCCCCCCTGTGCCACCCTTCCCCAACCCCTCTCCTAACACCTTCCTCCACCCACGTGCCCTGCCTCTCTCCTCTGCCCTTTGGTGTCCACCCCTCCCCATGTCTGCCCATCTGCTTCACCCCCACAACCTCCCTGGCACCTTACATTACCCCCTGCACCCTCCTGGTGCCTCTCCCTTCCCTCACTGTCCCCTCCCTTCCAATACCTGCCCCCCTTACCCTCTTCCTCCCTAGTGCCCACCCGCTCACCACCTTTTGTCCCAGCTCTCCTCATGCCCCTCTGTGCCCTCACACATCTTGTTCCATCTCCCACCTTCCTCATCCCACCCCTTCTTTCAACCCCTCTGCTCCCAGCACCCACTCCTCCCCTCTCCCTTCCTCTTGCCCCCACTGTCCTGCCCTTCTCCTCTCCCAGCATCACCCTGTCCCCTCCCCACTGACACCTTCCCATTTTCCCCCACCTCTGCTCCTCCTGCCCTTTCCCCTCATTGTCTCTTCTTGGCCCCCTGGCATTTGTCTCTCCTCCACCCTGCCCCTTGGTGCCTTCCCCGGTATTTCTCTGCCCTGACCTTCCCCTCTCCCCCCAGCACAAGCCCCTGCCTCTCTTCATCCTCACCTTGCCTTTAGTTATTCCCCTGCCCCTTCCCTTCCCTTGTGCCATCCTGACACCTGCACCTGCTGGGTGGGGCAGCACGGAGCCAGGGCTGGGACTCAAGCCAGGGCCAAGATGCTCTTTTTAGTTCCGTGGTCCTGGCCCCAGCAGCCGCCATGCAGATATGGCCCCAGCTGCTCCTAAGGGCGGGGCCACGTGGTGGGTGGCTGCCCTGTGTGCCAGGATTGGAGCTGGGCCACGGTGCTATTTTTAGTACCACAGCTCAGGCTCCAGCACCAGCAGCCGCCCCTCAAGCTGCATGGTGGCTGCCCATCTGCTGCTGGGGTGGGCAGTCACCCACCATGTAGCCCCACCCCTGGAAGCAGCTGGGGCTGCAGCTGCGCAGTTCTGCTGAGAGGGTGGGTGGGAATGAAATTCTTGGTGTGTGCCCACACAGTCATTCACCTTAGAGGGAACCTTAGCTCCCATCCATTTCAATGGGCCAGCACCAAAGTACATTGCTTCCTAAGGAATCACTTTCACTCCCAGACCAGAATGGCATAATTTTCAATATAATTACATTATTCTTTAAATACTAGCCAATTAGCCCGTCATAAGACGGGATTTTCAGGTCTCTCCTCCACGCTGATCTTCTCTCCTGAGCCTCCGGTCTCTCGCTTCGTGTCTCTTTCTTGCTCTCTCCTCCACGCTGATCTTCTCTTCTGAGCCTCCGGTCTCTCACTCCGTGTCTCTTTCTTGCTCTCTCCTCCTCCTACTGTGTCCCCCCCCATCTCTCCTCCGCCTTCTGCCTCTCTCTCCATCTCTCTTTCTCTTCTCCCCCTCTGCCTTTCACTCTCTCTCCGCTCTCCTCTGTCTCCGCTGGGGATGCACGCTTGTCCAGGCCCCGCCCCCTGGCCATGTACGTCACCGTCCCGCCCCCCTTTGCCTCTCGCCGTGGCACTCGGCTGACTTTTGCACTGCTCAACTGGGCTGCTACGAGGGAGCAAGTGGCCATTTGGCCTCCCCTGCGGCGACCTGGCTGAGTGGCGCAGAAGTCAGCCGAGAGCCACAGCGGGAGGTGAAGGGGAGCAGTGTGGTGATGTACACGGCCAGGGGACGGAGCCTGGATGAGCATGC